GCCTCCCCTGCTGTCTGCCTACAGCCTGGGGAAGAAGGAAGCAAACATCCAATGACTTACAGCTAACTTGTGCCATGTCCTGTCTAGGGGAAAAAAAAAAGAATTAAGTAACACAGCAGCTGTGAGCAGACAGAAGTGAGGACACTTTTTAGGGCTTGTTCCTTACTCATAAGCAGGTGTCTGCTGACTGCAAAGGTCACTCCTCAAGGAGCAATGCAGCATTGCCTGCAGCAGCTGCTGGACAGGGCGTCAGGTCTGCTAGGAAGAGGCAGCAACTCCTCAGCTGCCCCTTGGAAACCTGGAGCAGGAGCTGGGCTCACCATACCCAAGTCCCTTCCCCACCCACTGTGCAGCCTACGCTGATCCAGGGGCTGTAGGCCACATTTCTATCACGTTTTACCACCAAGCAGGAGAAAAGCTGTTCATAAACATCCACGTTGTTTTATTGTTCAGGCAAAGCTTTTATCTCCACAAATCTCTGAGCGCAAAGCCTTTCAGATGACCTGGAAAAATCACATCATCCCCCAACCTGCCATTAGCCAGAGACCCGATGACTTGTTTCACTGCTGATTGAGGCTTTGAGGCACGTGCTGCAGCCCCCACCTCGGCTAACAGCAGGGGGCTCCGTGTGTCCTCGCATCGTCCTCAGCAAGGACCAAAGAAATCATTTCAGTTTGCCATACAAACTGCGTGGGGGGGTTTCATCACAAGAGAGGCACAAACAGGTTTTGTAGAAGGGCTTTCAGATCTCCCAGCTTTTATCACTGCATACAAAAGCTGGATCAATTCAGTCATCACAGGATCTGTCACAGTACAGCACCCTCCATGCTGCTGGCTCTCCCTCATTAAGACTAATCACCCGATCTTAAACCCCACAGCCAATTTCCTCCCGCTGTGCCCACCCACATTTGGGGTTTCATGGAGGATTTCCCAAACCTGAAATAATTCCCTCAACGCTGTCGTGCCTGGCAGAGGAGCACGCTTGACTCTTAACAAGGCAGACACCATTTTCTGGTACAAGTACTTTTATTTCATCTCCACAAAGATGAACGCGTTCACGCAATGCTTCCTGCATTGGAGGCTATCCTGGGCCACAGATCTGCACACTCCTTGGCCACAGGGCCTGTGATGGCTGAACCTGGAGGAGAGAACAACAAAGCAGGACATCAGAGAGCTCAGTCAGCACAGTTGTGTTCTCCTGGGTCCTTGGTGCAGGTGAGCAGAGCCCTCTAACCGAGCACACCAACCCCAGCCATCACAGCCAACATTTCTCTTTGGCCCGGAGCAGGATTCTGCTTGCCCATACCTTTCATTTCACCTTTATTGTTCACTATTACTCCCGCGTTGTCTTCAAAATACAAGAACACCCCATCTTTTCTTCTGTACGATTTCCGCTGCCGAATTACCACCGCTGGGTGCACTGCCAAGAGACACAGCAGGTCAGCGTTCATCAGCATCCCTCCCAGCACAGTCAGCAGCTCACCCCAACACCGAGCTCCCCTTCGCAGTGCTTCTCTAGGAAGCTGAGTTACACCCTGGGTTCACAGTCCTAATGCAGGGATAGGACCAGCAAGGCTGACACCTCAGCCACTCTATTCCCAGCTTTTCAGCATTCCTCTCGCAGGATGTATTAAACTTCCTTGGTTGTATCTGGGCATACAGCTCATAACTCACATCAGCCTTGCTGGCATCACACTGACAGAGCAGAGCTGATGCCTGTGGGGTCCAGGGACGAATTCTGAAGGCAATAAGGCACTTCAAAACTGACAACTAAATCCACACTTGGAGAAGACAACGCTCTTCCAGTTTCTCAACTGTGCTTCTAAGTGTGTCAGCTCAGAGACAGCACTCAGCAAGCACACCCCTAGGAGGGGGGGGGTAAGGAATCCAATTCCCAAGGCCGTGTCACATCACTGATTGAAACGAACAGCACAGGCTGCCACTTCACCCAAAAGCGATGCTTTTCTCTGCCCTTCCACGACAACTCACTGAGCCACGGCGCACAGACCCAACAAGTGCTTTTGAGAAGGGTGGAGCAAACGCTCCTGCAAGCGGGCAGACGTCTGCCTTCTGATTCCTTCCTAGGCAGATATAACGCAAGACTTGCTCCTCTGCCCCCTGGGAGGACGCTGCAGCGCTCACAGACTCAGCAGGAGCTGCCTGTTGCTACAATCAAGTGTGGGTTGAGGAGCGCCACGCAGGCACTGCAGGCCTGGCTGCTCCTCCCCACGCTCACCCTTCTTCCTCAGCTCCGGTTTGCCCTTCTTGACAGTCGCCATCACCATGTCACCCACACCGGCTGCAGGCAGTCTGTTCAGGCGGCCCTTGATCCCCTTCACGGAGATGATGTACAGATTCTTGGCACCTGTGGAGAGAAGAGCTCAGGATCTGTGCCGAGATGCCGCGCCTGCAGGGACTCCAACCACCCCATCACCCAATGAGGCAAACAGCACAGGCTGCCACTTCATCCCAAAGCGATGGCCTGTACAGCACGGCCCTGGTGAACGATTTTCAGCAGGAAAAGGGCCATTTCCAGACGCACCCCCAGCTCCCTGCCTTACAGCTCAGCCCACACCCCCGCAGGGTCCCCCCAGACCCACTCGCAGCGGGGCACCCACCGGTGTTATCAGCGCAGTTAATCACGGCTCCCACGGGGAGACCGAGGGAGATGCGGAACTTCGCTCCGGAGGAACCTCCGCGTCCTGCGGGCAGAGGAGAGCCATGAGGTCACCACCGGGCGGCGCGGAGGGGCTGCGGGGCGGGGGGGAGCCGGCAGAACTGAGCGCCTGGATGGGCTACGGGGCACCGGGTGCGGCCCGCGCTGCTGGGCGGGCCTGATACCGCTGCCGGCCGAACCCGGGCCCACGCAGTGCCCCGGACCCCCGGCATCCTCCACGCCCCTCGCCGCGGCGCCCGCACACGCAGAGCGGCGGATGGAACCGGATCCCGGCCAGGCCCAGCGCCCCACCTCACCTCGCTTCGACATCTTGGCGCCGGAAGAGACGGAGGCGCGCGAGGCACGCTGGGAAATGGAACCTCCCCGGCGGACGTCACGTGGCGAAGCCGGCCTGCGTCACGTGACTGTGGAAGATCACGTGGTAAAGATCACGTGACGAGGGACGGCGCGGAGCCGACGCCCCCTGCAGGCGTTTCTCCGCGCTCTCCGCGGGCAGCGCCCGTAGCCCAGAGTGCGCCGCGGGCACCGGGAACCGCTGCCAAGTAATCAGAGAAAATTTGGTTGAGAAATCCTTCTTTCTTCTAAAAGGTAGAAAGCAGGAGAGTGGAAATAAAAAAAAAGAAAGAGAAAATGAGGGGGCACCCGGATTTGAACCGGGGACCTCTTGATCTGCAGTCAAATGCTCTACCACTGAGCTATACCCCCGCGGCCCGCAATGTTTTGTGCTGCGTGCTACAAAAGCTGCCTTCGCTTTTCTCTGCTCACAACGTTTTCTGCCCCAGCGGCCTTGCAGACCGCAGCTCCACGCCAGCCCTTCGCGAATAAGGGCTTTACTCCGCGGCAGCGCACGCCTGATTTCCTCCAGATTGTCCTGATGTGCTCAGGAGGGCAGCACGGAGCTGGGAGCCTCACAGCCTGCAAGCAAAGAGTGGGAATTCATACTGAATCATTGAAGTACGTGAGGTGTGACCCAATGGAGTCTCACACACGGGGGGGGGTCTGACACCCGGGGGGAAGTAACTGCATGTATCGGTATGGAATGGGGGCTGTGCTGCTGGAAAGGAGCTCTACAGAGAAGGACCACAAGGTGACCACAAGCCAGCAGTGTGCCCTGGTGGCCAGGAAGGCCCGTGGGAACCTGGTTGGCCAACGGTTGGCTGAAGGTTGACTGTGAGACAGTGCAGATGAGGGCATCGGTGCTGATCGATGTCCGAAGGGTGGGGGCACGGGGGTGGGACTGGGCTCTGTTCGGTGCAGAAAGCAAAGCGTTGTGATAACTCACAGCTCTGGGTGAGCTCCTGCCGGTGCAGTTTGGGGAGATGGAAGAGCTGCCCTGGGAGCCCGGGGATCTCCGCTGTGTGCAGGGGTGGGAGCCGTCCCTGTGGAGCTTTTGGGTGCGGAGCGGCTCCGTTCCTCGCAGCACTTCCTGAGCCAAACGAGGAGAAACCGCCCACGGAGCAGCGCGACGCGTCTGAAGCCGCGATGGGGCGGGGGGGGGGGAAGGGGGGAGGAGAGAAAAATATAAAATCTCAACGAGGGGGCACCCGGATTTGAACCAGGGACCTCTTGATCTGCAGTCAAATGCTCTACCACTGAGCTATACCCCCGGCTGCCGCTCCGCGCCCCGCGCCGTGTTCCTGTGCGGGACCGCGCGGTGCGAGGTGGGGTGCAGGGGGGATGCGACACGTGGAGCCGCTCGAGGAGCGAAGCGCGTGCGCGTGCCCGCGTGGAGTGTCGTGTCGCGCAACGGGGTCGCGCACCCGCGGGGTGGGGTTTGAGTTGTGGAGGGAGCAGCGATTTGCGCGTGCAAAGGAGTGCGGGAGCGCGAGTGAGGGCGGCGGGGCGATGCGCGTGGGTGGGCGCGCGCTGCCGCCCCGCCCCGCGCGCCCCCGCCGCCCCTCCTCCCTCCCCCCCCCCCCCTTATTTAGGGGCGCGGCGCGCGGGCGGCGGCCCAGAGGCGGACGCGGCGGCGGCTGCGGGGGGAGCGGGGCGGCCATGAACCCCAACTGCGCGCGTTGCGGGAAGATCGTGTATCCTACCGAGAAGGTGAACTGCCTGGATAAGGTGAGAGCGGAGAGCGGCGTCCCGCAACCCTCCTCCTTCTCGACCCAATCCCCGCCACCGCGTTCTGCCCGCACCGTGCGGAGCGGTCGGAGCTGTCGGGGGGGGGAGAAAGGCTCCGGATCCCGCAGCGCCGTGAGGCGGAACCCATCTGGATCCCATTAGCAGTGGGGGTTTCTTTTTAAGCTCCGGTTCCATCGGGCGCGTCCCCGTTCCCGGAGCTCTGCGGTTCGCGTTGCTTTCTCTCACTGCTTTCAGTATCGCTTCGGAGCGTTTCTTTCCCCGTTAAAAATAAAGCTTTTCTGCTACCGGCGTTCCGGTCTCGAGGAGGGGTGATGGCGGGGGAGGGGTGCAGCGATCTCTCGCTGTTGCCCCCGCGGGACCCCCGGAGCCGCCCTCTCCCCTCCACCCCCCCCCCTCACTCCGGGGCGCTCCCGCAGGTTCTAAAATAAGTAACTCGCGGAATGCGCCGATCCGCGCAGCGACATTCCTGAGCCGCGCAGACCCCGGGGCCGCATTTTTCACGGATGAGGTTTTTTCCTGACGCTGGGAATCGGCCGACGCCGATCCATCAGCGCTGTGTCCCAGAGACCCTCCCGTCTGTTTCAAGCTGAGAAGTGGCTCTGTCTGCACAGCACCCCCCGCGGGTGTCCTGGCGGGGGTTCATTGGGGGATGGGGTGGGGGGATGCGCTTCCTCCTATGCGCGCAGCCCCGCGCTTCTCTCATTGCCCGCTGTGCGTGCGGGGCTGCGGGAATAACTCAGGGCTGCGGGGGCTTCGCTCTCTGCAGCCCCCCATTAATCCGTCCTGCGGCTGCAGTAGCCCCCCCTCCTCCCGGAAAGCACGACCCGATCTCTGCTTTTACAACGTCCGCGTCAGCTCCGTGCAAAGTCTGAAGGGCGGATTTGCTCGCACCGCACCGGGTGGCCGCCGCGGGGGGAGCGGTGCGGAGCGCGGGGTGACGGGTTTGCCTTTTCCCGGAGCGAAGCGCTGATATCGGCAGCGACTGATCCGAGGTCCTCGGCTGAGTCGGACGGGGGCTGAGCCGTTTGGTTGGGATTTCAGCGCCGCTGCTTTGCACGGAACGACGGCTCCATTCGGCAACGGGGGGGTGGGGGGGTGTTCCTTGCCCAAGGCTGAGGGCTGTGATGCTTCCGCTGGGGGAGCGACACGGGGCTCCTGTAGTGGTGCTGTGACTGTGAAACCAAGGTGGGATTTACTGTTAGTTCCTTGAAGTGGCCACAAACCCAGCGGGGCTCTCCCTGTGCCGTCTTCATCCTTTGAGTCCTGAATGGTGCAGCAGCAGCAAAGGATGAGCTGTGGGTGCACACAGCTGTGAGCTCCATCCCCGTTCTGCTGCACGCAGGTGGGAATGGTGCTCCGTGCACTGCATGCCCAGCAGAGCAGCTCCGGGCTGTGGGGGTGCAGCACTGTGCAGCTGTGCCTGAGCTCTGCTCCAGGAGCTCTGAGCGCCTCAACCTGGGAACTGAAAAGCAGAGCCATCAGCTCTCCTGAAAAGAAGTTATTTGGAGCCTGGCCTCCTTTCTCTGCTAGAGGGTGAGGGGGAGCAGGATGGGAAGTATGAAGAGCTGCTGTTCCTGTGCCTGTTGTGCTGCTCCTTTGTGGTGTTGGTGTGGGTTCGTGCATATGGTGCCGTGTTGGGGTAAGGTGATGTTCAGAGGTGGCAGTGCTGAGGGCTGCAGGCAGCTCATCTCTGGATATTCATGTTGTTATGATGCTGTGGATGGCTGGAAGGCTGTATGTAACTTATGGGATGCTCTGAGGGTTGTTGGTCCGTCTGTCTCATCTGAAAGCACGGGGGAGAGGGGAAAAGTGGGCAGGATAGGAGCTGGGCGACGGCACAGGGCAGTGCAGTGCGATGCCCCTCTGCTCGGCCACCGTTAGCAGGAAGCCGAGGAGGAACTCTCAGGAGGAACTCGCAGGAGGAAAAGCACAAATACGTTGCTCTGAGCAACTGAGAGGCAGTGAGTTGTCCTGCTCCGCTGAGTCACAGCGCCCAGGGCTGTGTTTGTGCTCGGGGTGTGGCGCTGGGGGTGGGTGGCAAAGGGCTGCTGCTGCTCCTGCAGGATGAGAGCACGGAGCAGAGCACGGCGCCAGCAGTGGAAACAGATGCTTAGAAGCTCTAAGGTGGAAAAAACATTACGGGTGGAAACTGTAGCACCAGCAGCAGCTGTTCTCCCTGTGTTCGCTCACTGCATCGCCTGACTCGCAGCTCTGGGTGCTGAGCTGCTGCCTTGGCTCTGCTTGTTCCTTCTGTGTTTTTGTGGAGCGGCTGTGGGCACCTCACGTGCAAAGTGTGTCTGCTGATGGAGGAAGAGCCACTGGGGCGGTGCTTTCCTTCTTCAGTTCTCCCACTCAGCTCTGCTCCCCAGGCATGGCTCCAAGCCCCCAGCCCTTCCTGGGACCCTGGGCACGAGGTCACAGCAGAACACAGCTGGGGCCAAGCATCCTGAGGGGTCACACAGCTGCTCTGAGCTGCTCTCACAGGGCTCCTTCCAGCCCCTGGGTCAGAAGGGCCCTAAACGCTCCAAATGTGTCTTTAGAGCTCATGCTGCGGCCAATAATGTCGGGTTGTGATCCGAATTTTGAGTCTTTAACCTTGAGTGTGAGCTGGAGGAAGAGCTGTGCTGCTGTGAGTCTGTGCCTGGCATTCAACTGGGGTGTGCAGGGCTGGGGGAGGATGCCCACACCACCTCCCCAGCATCAGGCTGCTCATCCTTATCACTCCAGCCCTGCCCTGATAAGGTGCTGCTGTGTCTTCCAGCAGTGGGGGAGAGGGCCTTGAAGTGTGCGTAGGATGATCCATGAGGTTTGGGGAGTGCAGTGAGGGTGGGGGGGACCCTTTGGACACCTGTGTTGGACCGAGTGCTGCTCATGGGGGGGGGGGGGGAGCAGCGGGGGCTCTTCTTTTCTATCTCTATCTCACTCCCTGGGCTGGGTGTCTCTGCAGCCCCACCTGACGTGCTCTCCTGCCCAGCTCTGGGCAGAAAAACCCACAGCTGTACCTTTTGAAGCTGCAAACCACAGCTGCTGGCTCTGCTGAGTGCGTGCGTGAGGAGGAGCTTTCACTCACCTCCTCGGCCTAGCCCTGTGAATTCCTGATGTGGAGATAAAGCAGCACGCTGCTGTAAGGCGAAGTCATAAATGCTGCTGCTGTGTTGGGGTGAGATGCATTGGGAGAGAGTCCTGTGATGGTGGGAGGCCCTGCAGGGGCTGTGGGTGTCAGCACTGGCATCTCTGGGCTGAGTTTTGCAGAGCAGGGCCGTGTCCCATCAGAACGGAGCCTTGCGCTGACGCTCCTCTCCTCTGTTTGCAGTTCTGGCACAAAGCATGCTTCCACTGCGAGACCTGCAAGATGACCCTCAACATGAAGAACTACAAGGGCTACGAGAAGAAGCCCTACTGCAACGCGTGAGTGCTGCCACGGGGGGTTGGGGCTGTGGGTGCTGGGGGGTCCGTGGGATTCTCCTCCCTCTCAGTGGTTGATTTTCTTATGTCCCACCATATGGGGTCCTGGAGCTCTGGTGTGGTTCCATGGGATGGTTTTCCATTGCTCTGCAGCATTTGGGGATGGGGAAATGGGTTCTGGCTGTGTCCTGGGATCCAGCCCTGCTCAGTCTGCAGGTGAATAAGATTCTGCTGCGTGTGTTTCTTAACGTCTATAAAGCAGCTTTGCAATGAGATCTTTTGTAGCTGTTTCTTATACATCGACGGGTCTTAGGAGGAAAATGAGATGATGTGCTGCTGCTTAGCACTTGTGTAGCGAGCTCCATTCACAGAGTGCTCTAAAAACTCTAATCCTGACAACATCCTTGTAAGATGGGTATTAACCATATTAATGCCTAAGAATAGAATGGAGAAGCAATAGGGCTGTCAGTCAGCAGTGCTGCAGCAAAACTCTCTTGTGTAGCTCTGGTATTGCTGGGAGCGACGGTGGTGGAGGTGACACAACCCTGCAGGGCTGAGACGGTGTCCTGTGTGTCCCTTTGGGGGTGGATGCATCCTGCAGGGTGTGAGAGCCCTCAGCAGCCCTTGTTGCAGCCAGAGCCCCCTCCCCTGTGCGCCCCATGGGCCGGGATGTGCCCATCCCCGTTCATACTGCAGACCTGGGGTCCCGTTCTGCTCCTTCCCTCTGCTGCTGTAAGGGAAGTGGGATAATAATGGGAAATTCCTGAGATTCCAAGGAGTCTGCGCAACCCCGACCCATCTCACTTTCTCAACCCCCTCTGCTCCAGAGCTGCCTTTGATGCTGGCTGTGGCCTTAACTCTTTCACAGCCGCTCAGGAAGCCTGGGCTGGTCTCACAAAGACCCACATCACGTTGTGCCCTTCCTGCTCCGTGTGGCCGTGCCTTAATGCACAGGGAACTGGGAGCTGCTGGCAAGCAGGGTGAGGTTGTGCTGCCCAATGCTGTGGGGCAGAGCACAGGGCTCCGTGCTGCCCCAGGAGGGACAGGGGGACGTGGGGCAGCCTGGTGGACCCTGATGCTGCTGGTGCCTGCAGGAGCTGGGGAACAGCAACGTTTACTCTGGCAGGGGAGCGGCTGCTGTGCTGAGCACAGGGTCTGCTCTGTTTGAGCCGTGGCCTTCTGCCAAATTCCGAAGTTTCTTTCTTCAAGAGAGCAGAAGGAAGAGGGCCGGGCTTCCTCCTGCTCTGCCATTGCCCTGCAATAAATCCGGGCGCAGCCTTTGGGTGGCTGCAGCTCTGGGCTCCCTGTGGCTTTGGTGCTGTGATGCAGCTGGGTGCTGCTGGCAGCGTTTGGGGCTGGGTTCATCCCATGGGAGCACCTCGAGCTCCAGGAGGTGGAAGCAGAGGCAGAGGAAGGGCTGTATGCAGATCAGGGATGGAGGAGAGCTGAGCTGCAAGAGGCAGAGGCTGCTGGAGAGGCAGAAGTGTTTCTCTGCCCTGTCCCAGTTACGTGATCGTTCTGTTCATCTCCCTCGAGAGCACCTCCAGACAAGGCCAGGCTTCATCATATTGCTGTGGGCTTGCTTGAATTCCTGCTGATCTCAAAACAATTGCTGTGCTGAACGTGTTCAGCTCAGACAGCCCTGCTCCAGCACCCCCTGTGCTGCTGGGTTTGTTCCTTGGCTGCTCGCTCAGCCCCCCCTTGTTGGGTTTGCATGAGGCACTGCTGCTGGCTCACCCCTGCACCTCCTATGCTGGCGAGGGGAGGGAAAACTGCATTTTCCCCTTTGCTGAGGGGCTCCGGTCTGTGCCAGTAGTACATGGTGTAAGTGTGCCAGTCCCTGCTCCCTCCATCTGCTGTGTGACCACAGCTGCACCCAGCTATGCTGCCCTGTGTGTGCAGTGTGGGAGTGCTGTCCTCCAGCAGCCCCATCACCTTCCTTCCCATTGCTGACCCCAAGGACCCCCCTGTAGCCCCATCTCTGCTTTCCACGCTGTGCTGTCCCACACCCCCCAGGGCTCTTGGAAAGAGAGGAGCCCCAGCGATGCGTTCTTGGCTCCATGCAGTGCCCCATCTGGTAGCAGCTGCCTCTGTTCGCACAGTGAGCCCTCAGACCAGGGGGGAGGAGGGGGGCAGGAAGGAAAAGAGGAACAACTGTGTGCCAGGGGGGTGTCTGAGTGTTTGAGTGGCACTGGGTTGGGGCTCTGGGTGGAAGGAATGCCTCTGTGCTGTGGGTAGGTGGGAGCAGGCAGTGGAGTATGTGGGGAAAGGCCCCCCCATCCCTCTTCTGCATGGAGGGGGGGGGTCGTGTGGAAGCTTTCATGCCCCCCCCCAGCTGTGGGGTTTGGAGGAGGGGCAGCGCTCTCCTGGTGCAGGTATTGGGTGCTCATGCAGACACTGCCCTATTGTTGAGCTCTGCTCACAAAGCAGATGGTGAGTGAACGTGTTTGCTGAGAATCCTGTCATCAGGGTGGGGGTCTTCACTGCAGCTCCACGCACAGCAGCAAAACCCCCAGCCCTGCGTGAGGGGGGGGTGGGGTTCAGTTGCAGAGCCCCTGGGGCTGGGCTGCTGGTGGCTGTTGTGTTCCCAACCTTGCTTATCCGTGCCTGGGGCCAGAGACCTTGTGGAAAAAACCAGTAGTGCTGCAATGCCGGCTCTGCTCCCATAAACAACACTCTGAGGGGGGGGGGGGGGGGGGCCAGGCAGTGCTCTGTTTGGGGGTGGGGGGGGGACAGGGTGGCTGTGGGATGAGCATTACTTCTTCCAGGAGCTGCTGCTGCTGACTTCACAGCTTGGCAACACCCCGCTCTGCTTTTGCTTGAAATCTTTCCACTGTGGATGAAAGCAGGTTCTTGGAGCAGGCTGCTTGCACTGCAACACCCTCTGGAAGTGCTGGCACAGCCTCTGGGAAAGAGGGGGGGAAGCTGAGCAAAGCCCCAGGAAGGCAGTGCAGTGTCCCTGCTCAGCACTGGGTTCCTTGTGCTGGAGCTGTGCCTGTGGGTCCCCTTCTGCCTCCAGCATGGGGAGGGCGCTGGGGCAGCCTTGGTGAGGAGCTCATCCTGCAGAGCTGTGCTGTGCTCAGTATGGGCTGGGAACAGATGCTGGGAAAAGCAGCAGCTGCACACACAGAGGGCTGGCCCAGCCATTTTGGCAGCCTGAAAACACTGGGAGGAACTGAGATCCCACTCTGCAGCCTGCTCCTTTAGGGTGGGATGTTTGCAAGCTCTCTGCAAAGTAGCAGGGTGCTGTTTTCACTTAAGAAAGAACAACAGTTTATTATTGTTTAAGTGCGTCCCTGCGAGCCAGCAGCTCCGTGATGGGCAGGATGTGACCGTGCAGCCTGCTGGCAGCACTCAGCCTATTGCTCCTGCTGCATAACTCTTTGTTCCCAAAGCTGCTGTGCAGTCGTGGGGGTGATGCTCACCTCCTGGAGGTGTGGGGTTGTGCTGCACATCTGCCCAAAGCACTCACTTGGAGCCTGTGTGCGAGGGCAAGCGATGCACCAAGCACTGATTGCTGCCAAAATGCAGCACACGGTGGCCATGCAAGGAAACAGAGGTGCCTTGGAGTCATGCTGAAAGTGGCTCCTCTTGTTCCTGTTGTCTTGCAGAAGCATCCCACTGCTGACCTTACAGGAGAAGTGTAGCTCCATCTCCAAGTGCAGCCCCTCGGCTCTGTGGTGGGGCTATTATGGGGTGTATGGGAGGAGCTGCTGTGCCCCCGCCGTGCAGCTCTTTGTGGCAGCTCTTCAGAAGTGCTCCCACCCCCATAGAGGCAGCAGGGAGTCAGCTGGGGGTGCAGAGCAGACAGACCCTGATCCCCGGTAATCCCCAGCTGCCTCCAGGTGCTGTGGGGCTGACGGCCCCAAACTGCCCCTAATGCAGCAGCCAGACAGGCTCTGTCCACCCTGCAAAGACTGCCCTGACCTGGTTTAGTAGCACAGCACGAGGTGTCTGGGGCTGTGTTGGGGTTTGCTCCTGTTTCTGGGGGTGGGACAGCATGCATTGCCTTCTGAGGGGTGTCTTGAGCAGCTCCATGGATGGTGCCTGCAGAAAGTGAATGGGGGAGAGGCCCCAGGCAGGGATGTGCATCCCGTATCACCCTGCTCTGTGTCCCTGCATGCTGCTCTGTCTTGCCCATCAGCAGCCCCATTGGATCCCGAGTGCCCCATTCATTAGGCACTAATTAGGTGCAGGGGGCCCATTGGGAAAGGCCTGCAACTGGCTCTTGCTTCCTCCCAAGCTCTTACTTCCCAATCCTATGCAGAGCTGCTTCCTCTGAGGCGTTTGGCTCAGCACCACAGGGCCATGGTGCAGTGCCAGGACCGCGGTGGGCACGGATCCTTTTTGTGCCGGGTACCAAAGGCTGTTGCTCACTAATTGCAAGGGTGGTTTTGCTGTGTGCTGCTCTTGCTTCTGGAGGAGGCAGGTTGAGTGCTGAGCACCTTCCTTACCTGCAGCAGTTATGGGTCTGACTGTGGGGTGGAGAGCACAAGAGCACCCTGCATGGGGAAGGACGCTCCCTGCTCATCCCTGGTGCAATTCTGCTTCCTGCACGCTCCCCCAACCCGACACAATCCGTCGGTGCTTCCTCATTAAGATTTAATTTACTGCTGTGAGCGCTGTGGCTGATTCTCATGCATACGAGATGGTTTCCCCGTTGCAGGGAGGTGGACGTCTGTGGTTTGTGCTGAGTGTCCCCACTCCTTCGTTCCCAGCCTTTGGAGCAGGCGGATCCCACAGCTCTGCACGGAGCTGATGCCCGTCCACAGGGGATGTGGTTCACTTGGTGCATTTCCTCCCATTCCCTGCTGCAGGACGATTGCTGCCCCCAGCAGCAGATGTGGGGCTCAGGGCTGCAGCCCTTGGGGAGGCTCCTGCAAAATCTCACTGACCAAAGAAGAAACCCAATGCTGTTCTGTGCCCCTCTCCTTCATCCCTCCCCAGCCCCTGCCCACGCTGTGAATGGCATCAGCATCTTCCAGAAGATGATGATGATGATTTTGCCCTACAGCCATGGCTGTGTGGTTTCCCCCAACTTGGCAGGGATGATTTGTGGCATTGCTTTGCAGTCCTGCAGCACTGGGGGCTTCCTCCTCCCCACACGCCACGCTCGGACCCTTCTCCGTGCTATTAGCATGCCCGGAGCATTGGATGCTGTTGCCATGGAAATGGGATGATTTAGACTCAGAGAGCACAGAGCTGTGACAGAGATGAGGCTGCAGCTCAGTGCGATTGCCTTTGCCCTTTGCAGGAGCTGCACAGTGTCACACTGTGCTCTGCTGCTCTGCGTGGCTGCTGCCCCCCGGCCCTGGGCTGAGCACAGCACCACAGCCAGCAAAGGGGTTTGGATTGTGTTGCTTTTGTGCTTAAAAAGTGGTTTTGTTCTCTTTGACCTCAGTGTGAGTTAAGCAGTGGCTTCCAAGAAGCTCAGGAAGAGGCTCTGTGCTGAGCTGTCCTCCAGTGCTGCTGAGCTGCAGTGATGCATGGAGTGCATGAATGCTGCTGCATCAGAGCCCCAGCACCCCAAGCAGCCGCCTCCTGGCACAGTGTTGGGATGCAAGCACACATTTCCTGCAGCCAGGTTTGGACACTCAGTGCATGCACTGCTGGCTCTGCAGCGCAGATACCGTGGCTATGATGCACGTGCAGCATTCAGGAGCACCTTTCTGACTGCAGCCCTGCTCCTTTTGCAGCGGGCAGCAGTGGGCTGTGTGCCATGGCTGCGCTGCTGGTTGCTGCCTCTAGAACATCACTTGGGCAGAGGCTCTGCTGTGGAGCTGCTGCTATGATTCCCAGTGGTTGGAGGGGTCCGGAGATCATCCGGCCATCCCTACAGCTTTACCTTCTGGGAGAACCAACCATTGAGAGCTCTGCTTTCACCCCAGCTCTTTGGCTGTTGGCAAAGTCACCCTGGTGCTGCTGTGTTGCGTTTGGTCAGCGTGGAGGAGGCAGTGCAGAGCCCAGCAGCCCCAGCTGGGTGGATGCTGTGCCCCAATGCCATGCCCAGCCATGGTGGGAGCAGAGCCTGAGCACACAGTGTTGAATCTCCCCCGTCAGATTAATCTAAACAGAGATTAAACCATATCCTAGGGGCGGTCTGTGATCTGCTCTCATCCAGCGCTGCTCCTTGTCCCTCTCAACTGCTGCTGAGCTTCCTTTCCCCTTTCTGCAAACCACATCTGCTTTGTCTGCTTTCTGGGTGTGCGTGGGGGGGGTTTCTCTGTTTTCTCAGCGTGGCTCTGGAGTCTATTTTTGTTGTCTCACTTCCTGCGTTGCTGCATGAGGTATGTGCTGCTCTCAGGTCTGTGTCTCAGTGTCGTGGTGCAGATGGTTTCCTGCTGCGCTGACCGCAGCGTGGACAGCCGTGGGCAGAGCTCTGCTCACACTGTGTGCAGTCAGTTCCCTGTGGTGGCTCTCAGGGCGCAGCCTGGGGCTGTCAGACCCATAGGGCTCCCACGTGGTGTGGGTAGGGATGGGGCTGCAGCTCCATCAGGTCAGGGCTCGCCTTGTCTGCCAGCGTGGGAGCTGTGGGCTGCCTGGTGCAGAGACAGCAATGGGACAGGGATGGGGTCAGAGCTGTGTGCATGGGCAGCAGATGCATCTGCAGGGTTTGCGGGTTTGTTTTCAGCCCTGCTCACCTCCTTTTGGAGCCACCATGGAGGAGGAGAGCTGCCTTGTCTGGGCTTTCAGGAGGGTTTGTTCAAGCAAAAGGAAGTGAATGTGAGTTGGGGGTGCTGCTGCTCTGTGCCCCCCAGACCCAAAGTGCTGCATCTGGGGGCAGCTGCCATTGCATGTGGTGGTGCCTGGCAATGGATCTGCTCATGGATCCCCCCACGTTCCAGCAGCTTTGCCTCTGCTTTTCCACCTTCCTGAGCGGGGGAAGGGCTGCGTGAAGTGTTCCCATCTCAGGGGGAGCTCACAGCGTTTGTGTCAGATGTTCACCTCCTGCCACGCATGAGTTCACCCCACTGCACATCTGTGCTGATAGCAGAGGCTGCGTGTGGCACTGCAGGAATGCAGCCTGGCCGTGGCTCTCCTGCTTTACAGCCCCGTGTTGGGCACATGCTAAGCAATCACCCCACGTGTGGGATGGGTGTAGGTGAGAAGCGCCCCGGGTCAGACACCGTTCTGCTGACGGAGCTCCTGCTGGGTGGTGATATCCTCAATGTGAGGTCTGTGGCTGAAACTGCAGCAGAATGAGCCAGGAGAGCTCTGGGCTCCTCTGAGCCATCCTGCTGGGAGCAGTGGAGCAGAGGCAGAGCGGTGTAAAGCAAAATGTTTACTTGGATTGATGTTACCAATGACGGTAACTGAAGGTCCTGGTGAAGGTGTCCTGGGGTCCATCCAGAACTTGGGCACAAACCTACAAAGACATTTTCCTCTGGGAAAAAATAGTGACGTAAAAAAAAGCCAAACCCTCCTTATCTGCTTTTTCCCATGAAAGCAGTGGAGTGCAGAGGGGTGGCTGCTCCAGGACGACACCTCCAGCACGGTGCTATGGAGAGGGCTGGGCACCTGGTGCTGATGCTGTCCTTTCCCCCCCTGCAGACACTACCCGAAGCAGTCCTTCACCATGGTGGCAGACACTCCCGAGAACCTGCGCCTAAAGCAGCAGAGCGAGCTGCAGAGCCAGGTAAGCATACATTGTGTGCTGCAGAGCCAGGTGAGAGCTGCTCTGTGCTCTGTGCTTTGTGCTGCGCCTCGTTGTGCTGCGTTCTCTGCTCCGGTGCACAGCAGGAGAGCTGTGCGTGGGGCTGTTTTGCTGTTTGCTGTTCCACTCATTTGAGGTGGCTGTGAGCTGCCTCCCCCAGGCACCCCCAACCCCGCAGTGGGATTTTCCCTGCTGGCATCCAGCATTGCAGCGGGGTGAAATGGAAAGGAGGGGCGTGAGCTCTGCGGGCACCGGTTTTGGGTAAACCCAAAGGTTGGAGGGATTGGAAGCTCTGGCAGGCAAAAACGAGCAGATGGAACAGATACCAGGGGGTGTGGATAAAGTGGGAAGAGGGGAGGCTGTGGGAGGAGGGAGCTGAGCAGACGTGCCCCATTCTGTGCCATAGGGTGTCCCCGAAGTGCCCAGCTGTGATGCAGAGCTCCGGGCACTGCTCCTCCTGGGGGTGTTGGGATTGCTTTGGGTGGGCAGCAGGCAGAGCTGCAGTGGGAGAGAAAGCATCCAGGGGCAGTTCTGGCTTGAGTCACCGTCTCTGGGGAGAGCACAGGATGTGGCCACTGTTCTGGGAATCTCTTTTACTTCTTTTTTTTTCTTTTTTATTTCCTTCAATGGAAAGGGGCAAAGAGGAAAGGGCAGAGAGTCCACGCAGAGCTGTCAGCATTGGCTCAGCGCAGTGCTGGCAGCGGATGGGCAGAACAGGGTTGGGGTTTGCCCAGGGTTGGTGTGAGGTGAGCAGTCATCCTTTGGGGTCAGCGTGTTCCCCTCCACGTGCCTGGAGGTGACGCTGCCCTCCTCCTCTCCCCGTGAGCCTGGAGCCGCCAGGAGCTGGAAAGCAAACAGAATGGGGTCAGAACCTCACCTGGTGGCAGATAGAGCTGTGCTTTGCAAGGCCGCCCAGCAGCACCCTGTGCACCTGGATGGAGCTCAGCCCAAGTTCACTCTGTGCTCCAAGGAGCCACAAAGGGGACACGGTTGCTCTTCCTCAGTAATAATCCGGAGAACCGTGTGCTCTGCAGCCCCCGGTGCTGCTTTTCCAACGAGCTCAGCTCTTCATTATCTCTTGCTTATTAAAGTAGACCCCGGGGAGGGGATGCTGGCACTGCCTGGGCTTTTCTGCAGCTCGCTGGGACGCTCGGCTCCCGTGCTGTGTGCTGTGCTGGATGTGGCTGGAAATGAAAGTAGGTTCCATCCTCTGCGTGAGGTCGGTGCGGGGTGTCGTCCATCCCATTTCCCTCTGCACTGAGTGTCTTTAGAGCCGTGCTCAGACCTGGAGATCTGCTGTGCCTGGAGCAGGTACAGTGCCCTGGGAGGTGCTGGGGGCTGCATCCCATTCCTGCACTGCTCCTCCACCACTGCAGTGTGCGTGGACCCTTCTGAAAGGAAGGGACTGGAACAGACACGCTGTGTTGTCTTAACATTCCAAAATGCTCAGCTACTGCTGTATCTTGTGGGAGGTGAAGCAAGGCCCTGTGCACAGCCCCTGTCACTGCAGGGGCACTGTGGGCACTGGCAATGGGAGCAGCACGTTGCAGGGCTGGCTGTGTGTGAAGGTGGCATGAGAGGGGCTGGGGTGCAACCAGGGGCTTCCAGTCTGTGGGACAGTGGCACCCACATCTTGGTGCTGGGACGGGCTGAGGGCATGGCTCTAAGAGCAGGAGGGAGCAGAAGGGATGGGTAGCGGTGAGACACGGAGCAGCTGAAGCGGGTGGGAGCTGCCCAGAGCCCCCCATGGAGGGCAGACCCTGAATGTGCTACAGATAGGATCTTGGTGCCTTTGTTCTGCCCACACAGGGACTCTCCTGTTTTGTATTTCCCCAAGTGCTCCAGCTAAGGCTGCCACTGCTGTGCTTTGTGGACAGCCTCGTAGGGACAGCAGGAGCTGAGCAGACCCTTCAGAGAGCCCTTCTGAAGCAGGAGCCGAGTTTGGGCTGTAAATGGAGCTGATGGTTGGGAGCTGTGTGAGGGAAGGGGCAGTCAGAAGGTCTGTGGTCCTCCGTGGGGCTGCTGCCAGCTGGAGCTCTGCAGCTCTGTGCTTCCCTTCACAGCTGTGTTTGTGGGTGACCCCAATAGGGGCGATCTGCCAAACCCACACCCCAGCAGGACCGGCAGAGCCGGTTGTGCACCGCTAACGGGGCTGCATGCAGATCCACCACCTTCCTCCTCTATTTGTGTTTGTGGAGAGGGCGTCTGCTGTTCCGGTCACTGTAGACGCTGGATAATAACAGCCTGTGTAGTTAAAAGTGTCTGCAAAGCGACAGCTTTTACGCCTGCAGCCTCTTCTTGCAGCCCACGTGCGGCGAGCAAATCGCAGGGTTCCCCTTCTGTGGTTAATCCTGACTGCTAAAAATGGGCATTTTGGGAGCAGCCGCCCTGCCTGAGTGCTGCAGGTACCCACAGCACCAGCAGGCATCAGCTGCCTCGTAAGGGCAGGGAGAAGCAGAAAATTGCCCATTCTGAGCACTTCCTCCCTCCTTCCGCTGTCTGTCCTGGCCACTGCGATGGCTGCAGCACTGCAGTGTCCCCCTGCTCCGTGTTTTCCCTCCCAACATCACCCCAGTGCCCCTGTCCTGCTCTGATTGCCATGGGGCAGAACCTCCCCTGCAGAACGCACTGTGCCCCACATCCTGCCATCGTCCCCCCCTGCATTCAGGGCAGCCTCAAAGGGGATCCTTTTGGGCTGCGTTGCTCTCACCTGGGTGTTAAAGGGAGAAGAAGAGAGGGATGAGATTCAGGAGGGTAAATGTAAGAATATCAAGGGAACTGCTTAGCCCTGTGATGAGCTTCATGCTTGAGGATGCTCTACCTTTCCTTCTCATGCTTGTTGAGCTGTGCATTTGCAGCCCGATGTGTAACACCCTGAGGTTGCTCCTTCCTAATGGTACTGTTTGTGTCCCTTACCCCAACCAGCTCCAGCTCTCTCCCTCATTGCCGTGGGCAAACAGAGGCTTCTGCCCTGAAATCAGTTTCTCCTTGATGTGCTTTGGCATCTCGGTCACGTTGTTACCCTGCAAGGGAGGATTCTGCAGCCCGGTTCATTAAACCTTTCCTTTCTGAGTCACATCAGAGTTACCAGTTGTGGACTGTGCCGTGTGTGCTGTGGCTGTGGGGAAGGGGTGGAGGCTCCATAGCTCCCATAGCTTGCATTTCTGCTTCTGTGCAGGGCAGGAGCAATGTGTTTGCAAGGTGCAGCTCAGGGCTGTGTGCTGGAAACGTGGTCTGGACGCTGCACAGAGCTACTGAAAAGCATGCAAGGGGACGAGTGAAATAAAGCAGGGCTCTGCTGGAAGCGATGCTGGTGGCAGTTTGGCAAACAAATAGGGTTGCTCAGTTCTGCTGGCCTCCAGCCCCACAGCCTGCTCTGTGATGGCCGTCCTGGGCCTTTTCTGTCCCTCAATGTCCCCTGGTGGAGCAGTGGGTGCAGCTCATGGAGCCCTCAGGACCCACATATGGACAGAGAGCTGCAGCTGAGCTGACCTGCAGTGGCAGCCTGCAGGAAATGCAAAGTGAATCCAAGTGACCCCAGCCCTGCTGAGAGAGCAACAGGATGAGCAGAGCACAGGAAGCTGTTGTGTTTCAGCTCTTGGCAGTGCCTCGTTTTGCTGTTAGCAGATACATTATGGGGGCTCCCTGCACGAAGCCAAGACTCAGAGCTGCTGTGGGGACAGCGAGGTCCGTCTGGGTGAGCAGAGCAGCTCCACGCACTGCATTCCCCCGCAGCTCACTGTGTTTGTTCTTGATCCCACCCAGATTCGCTACAAGGAGGAGTTTGAGAAGAACAAGGGGAAAGGCTTCAGCGTGGTGGCTGACACCCCGGAGCTGCAGCGAATCAAAAAGACTCAGGATCAGATCAGCAACGTGAGTGCCTTCTGATCGCTGTGTCTGGTGCTGCTGCGCTGCTCTGCTGCGGAGCTGTGTGCTGGTAGGGGGGGAGGGGGGCACACAGCATCACCTGAGCTGTCACCATACCTCATTGTCACCCAGGCTATCAGCACGGCCCACTGAGCACGCAGCACCGCGTGGAGCTCTGGGCTGTGTCTAAAAGAGACCCAGCTCTCCCTTTCTCAAAACAAGAAGCCCACGTCTGGGTTGGCTGCATCCTGCTCCCCCCATCCCTGTCCAGGTGCTGTGTGCAGGATGTGGATGGCTGTTTCCATGGCAAAGGAGGAGGATGCACACACACACATAGAGCTACTGCATGGGGTGCAGCCGACCTGGGGCACAGTGACACGGCTGCCTGCAGCACTGCATCCCTCCAGCAGCACACAGAGGGTTAATTAACCTTTAGCTGCTGGTAAAAGTCATGTGCGCAGCCCTTATCTAACAGCCCAAGCTGTTGCAAAACCTGGCCCAGCAGCAAGCCAGGAGGTTCCTTACCGAGCCCTGGGCCTGCCCTGAGAGCTGCAGCTTTGCATGCAAAATGCTTTGGGTTTCAGAAAGCTGCCATGCCTGTGCAAGGAGAGGGAGCCCACATGAAGGAGCTCATAGACACACACACAAACACAGCACACCCCATGGGGCTGGAGGCGGCTGTGTGTTCCCTCTCTTTTTGATCCCATTTGCAGCTCTGGGCAGCATGTGGGGTCCGCAGGGAGTTACCTGCACATCCAGACCTGAAGGCTCTGCTTAAGTTGGGGGCTGCTGGGTGGATTTTCCTGCACAGGAGGCGTTCAGAGCCCCGCAGGCATCTGTCTGCCAGCTTGGCATGGCCGTGACCCACTTAGCAGCCCCTGCATGCAGCCTGCTGTGCCAACAGGGCTCTGCGCCGTGGGGGGATGAGCAGCACAGGGGCTGCAGGCCGAGCTGCAGCACTGCCCCAAAGCACGAGGTGCAAAAGGTGCAAATGCAGCCCTGCACAGCAAGAAACCCTCTTAGGAACGGAGCTGTGCAGAGCCCAACACTGTGCCTCTGAGCACAGGGAAAGTGCAGTCAGTTCTGCGGCAGCATCCCCGTCCCTGCAGCTCTGCTCCGGGCTTTGCCTCCCGCCTGTAGGGAGCCCTCTGGAGTGCCCTTCAGTACAGCACTGTTTAACCAGCAGACAAATGGGCTCCAGGTGCTTCCCAGTGGCAGGGTATTCATTAACAGGAGCAGCTATTAATTTTTACACCATGCCCAGGGTTGGGTTAACCCTTTGCTGCAGTGTGTGCAGGTTGGGATTGCTAAAGGTGCTTCTGCTCTGTGCTCCTGCGGTGCAGGGGTTTGGGAGGCTGCTCCTGAGCCTCACCCATGCCTGGAAACCTCACAGATCCCACCCCAGGACCCTGAAGTTCTCCTTCCCCTTGCTACGAGGGGGAGTCACCCGTTTTGGGCTGCCTGGTCCTCCCCGTGTACCTTAGTGTGCATCCTGACCACAGTGATTCTCTGCCCCTTCTCCAGGCTCTGGGAGCTTCTTGTTCACTCTGCACACACCTGAATGCTGAACCCTTCCTCATTTGGGGCACCGCTGCTCTATTATATAGGATTATATAGGTTTCCCTCCTTCCCCTTCCTATGCCCACTCCCATCTCAAAGCAGCCACTGTGCTTCCTGCCCTGCTGCCCTTGTGAAAAGCAGCAGGCTGGGACCAAAGGATGCTGCTGGGGGGCTGGGGCCTGCAGAGCTGCCTGGGCTGCACTCTGACCTCTCATCCTCCTCCGTAGATCAAATACCATGAAGAGTTTGAGAGGAGCAGGATGGGCCCCAGCCCCAGCGAGGGCGCGGAGATGGAGCGCAGGAACTCCCAGGAAAGCGCCAATTACCGACGGCCGGAGCAGCACCAACCACAGCACCACGTCCAGCCCAGCAACCCGGGTAAGGGCCGTCCCAGCACCTGGGGGCTTCGCGTGGCAGCAGATCCTGGTGCTAATGGTGTGTTCTTCCTGCCCAGTTTACCAGCAGCAGCCACCAGCCTCGCAGTCCTATGGCTACAAGGAGCCTGCAGCGCCCGCCTCCACGCAGCGCAGTGCACCGTCCGCAGCGGGGGTGAGTAAGGGGTCTTCAGGGTCCCTTCCAGCCCACACTGTTCAGTGATCCTGTGGTCTTTGAGGTCCCTTCCAACCCAAACCATTCATTGATCCTATGATCTTTGAGATCCCTTCCATCCC